TGTTGGAAATTCTAGACAAAATTTGTAGCTAATTTTTGATATATTGTATTATGAGCTGGTCTAGTTTAAACTGCTGTTTTTCTTTGTTTCAGCTCTTCCTGCATCCACTCTTCTTCATATTAGGTGCCTTTCAGCTAAAGATTTTAAACCCCAACTCCAAAGGCCACAGCGCCCTCTTCCCTCCCTCGAAACAGCCCACATCTGGAACTGTAGGAAGAGAGTTTCAGTACAAAGTTTTTGAGAAGGAAAAAGGTTCAAGCTGGAACAATGTGTCCTAAGCAACAAATTTAACCACAAAAATCCAATATCCTATTTCTGTTCCTGAAGTCTTGATCTGGTGGCCATGGGGTAGTTTTTGGAACTGACATTTAGTCTGGCCAACTGGTTTCCAGAGGCTGAATATTTTAGCTGTAATGTCCTTTGAAAGAGGAAGTTTCAATTCAGAAAGAGCAGTAAAATAATAAGAAAACTGTGTTTTGTGAGACAGACACTAAATAATCGTACCACATAATAATAATAATATTGGAGATTGTGTTTCTGGAACAACACAAAAACATTTTGTGAGAGATTTCTTTCACTGGGGACTGATGGAGGAAAAGCCAGAAGCTCACAATGCCTGAGAAGATACAAAGATGGGAGCAGAGTCAAATTCAGTCAGAGTTTTAGCCACGAATCAGCCAATACAACGAAGACTGGACAAAGACCATGCAAGAAAATGCAGGGCAAAATGAGTTGCAGCTGGTCTCTCAGCACCAAGGATCTCCAAAGAAGAAAGACCAGAGGGAAAGAAAGGAAAAGTGAAGTGAGTGGAGCAGGAGCAGGAGCAGGATTCATGGAGAGGAGAGGATGCTGCTCAGACCTCTGGCCTGGTCCATGAACTCTCAAAAGGGATTAAGGGTTTAATGAACTGCCTATTGGAAGTCAGACGCTTGAGCCCTATAAGCAATGGAGCAAGGGAGGGCGGCCGTCACAAGAGTGCTCATGTGAGGGCGGGCCCTTCGTCTGCTAATGGAGCTGGAAGAATTTCATCAGGAGGCCGGACTTCCATAGTTTAGATCCTTCTTCAGGAAAAAAGTGCTGGGAAAATGCAATTAAAGCTCAGATGGGATAAAGAGTTTTACTGCAGTCATCCTTGCATGTAAGTACATGTAAATAAGTAACGTTTGTTTGTACACAGCGGCACACTCAAAACAACCACAGTTGACCAAAATGCTGTTCAGACACTACTGAAATCAGTAAATACCTATATAATAATTTAACTACGAATAAAAGCAAAACACATAATAAAGCATCGCATTTAGAGTATAAATCAATAACTTAGGAATACTTTACATTATTAGTTTATAATAGTTTATATTATTGTATATTATAAACTAATAATATAAAGTATTACTAAGTTATTGATTATGAACCCTTAATGAATAATGTTTTATTTTTTTTCTTTTCAAATTAAGTTTATGTTTCTACTGCAGGGAGAAGAAGAAGCTTTTCATAGAGTTTTATGACACAAGTAAGTAAAAAAATGTTTTAAGACAAATTTAATACAACAACTTTGTAGGTGGTGATTGGGTGATTGGATTAATATCTTTTATTTTATTAAAAGTTTTTTGTATCTCTCTCTCTATATATACAGTATGTAGATATACATATATACATATACAAATATATATGATGCTGTTCACTATGGTAGTTACAGTATATCACATATCTAAAGATGAAACTGTTTAAAAGACGTGTTTTGTTTCTGTCCCAGGAAGCTGCAACAAAACCGCTGTGTGTAACAGACAGGTGGTGTCAGAGGACAGGACCACTGACCAGTGACAGCGGGGGTGTCCAGGTTAGTAAAGAAAAAGTTCTAAGACCTACATTACAATTTCAAAAAGTTTTGACAACAAGTTTTATCACATCTATATTTGATCAGGTTTCCAACCACTCATAAATGAAGAAAACAAACATGGAAACAACACTTGCAGGGATGGATACGTAAAGGAATATAAGAAAAACCATCCTCGTACCCAGCCAGAGCACAGATCAGGGGAAAACCTGCTAAAACTTATAGGTTTAGGTCTGGGTTCTAATTTCGATGGGTAACAATGGATGTGAGTGTGTGTGAAGGAGAGAGGAAGAAAGGGAGGGAGGGAGGGAGGGAGTGTCGTGTGTGCACTTGCTGTGAGTGGGTGTGGAGGGCACAAAGGAAGCAGGACAGAGCAGATCAGATCAGTGGAGGGCAGCAGAGGGAGGCAAACACACCGACACCTTTGCACTGACACAGTGTGTGTGTGTGAAGGGGAAACGAGCGGCTCAGTAATGGGGAGGTCTCAGTGAAACGACAGCAGCAGCAGCAGCTGAAGTCTACCTGTTGGAGCTCAGTGACGCGTCCGAACCACGCTGATCGTGGATTTGCGGAAACCAAACCGAGTCCACTCCTGTTGGAGCAGCCGGAACCATGACTCCAATACTCTTACTGTGGGCTGTTATGGCTGTGCACCAGTGGACGCAGAGCTGCAGCGGATTTAATATAGATGATCGATTCCCCGTGGTGAAAGAAGGAAAAACCAAAGGGAGCTTTTTTGGGTTGTCGGTCGCTCTGCATCATCAGACGGAAGGATCCGTGAGAAACCTGTAAGTTGGCAGCAGTGCGCGTCGGAGTTGTAGCTTCTCGTCTATTCCTTTCTCTTCTGTTTAGAGGTGAAAACGTCCTCGCACAGTTTGACGCTCCCAGATACACCTGCCTTACACCGCTAACCTCCGCATTCTCTCCGGTCCGCGGATCAGCGGAGTTTCTGAAGAAAGAAACTGCTTCGACAATGACCTTGCTTGAAACAAACAAAAAAAGTTGTCTTTTAAAGCATAGTGTTATTTGTTTATTGTCCTTTTAATAGTTATTTTTAAAACTATTCTTTCTCACCGTTTATTCCTTTGCCCTTTTTGCATTCAACCGTGACCAGCAAGTTCATTTAAAGAAATACATTTTTATCCCCAGTCTTTTTCAAAGAAGAATATAAATATATACGTATATATGGAATCAACAAAATCAAAAATAATTTAGGCCAGGGTCAGGTAGCAGTTATAAAAATCTCTGGAGTTATTACAAATTCTCCTCTTCATATTTTAGCTGAAACAATTTCACAGCCTTGCGTCACTGCAGCAGCTTTCACTGTTATTGTGAGTGCCTACAATACTGAACATGATATTTCATAAAGAGCTGAATAGCTGCAGGAGAAACATCTGGTTCAGGTGAATGTTCTGCAGGTTATAAGAACTGTTGTTGCTGTGAAGAATAAGGTATTTTTCAATTTTCCTTCCACTTTTCTCACAGCTGAGTATCAAAGGTGTACTTGGGCTGGAACTGTTCCTACAAGATGTTGTGGTCACAGCATGCTGTAGATTTATCTGTGTTTTGGGGAATTTTTTAGTTCTGGCTGAAGATCTAGTTTGTGTTCACATCTTTCCTGCAGTGTCTTTAATGAAAGGCCCCTCAAACTATCATTGTTTAGAGAAGGATTTCCCTCAGTCAATTACTTCTGCTTTGAAGAGAAACACAGGAAGAAAATTGCCAACTAGCATTCCCTTCCTCTGTGTTGTCACCGTCGGTCGGTCAGTCAGTCTGTCAGGTCAGGTTCATGCAGCCTCCTCTGCTGTCAACCTGGTGGACAGAATAGACTGCATTGCTGTGTCCATATGACACTCGATCAATGTGTTGTCCCCAGAGCAATAGAGGCGCCGTCCAGGGACTGCAACACAAGAAGAGGGACACATGGCTGTGATAATGACACTGGAGGTCTGGAGAGACAGAGGGCTTATAAAAAATCTAACCCAAAGTTGTTTAATGGACTGTGTGCTCTGGTCTGTTTAGTCAGGATCAGAAACATGTAATGTTGTAGTTAGTTCTTTATTTGCCTGAAATATCTTTGTCTAATGGCAGCAAGGTCTCTTTTTAATTTAAAGAAGTGAGATGAATTGACATTGTGCAGGGTGGGACTGACTTGTCATCCACAAGGTTTCACAAATCTCACACCACAGGCCTTTTTCTAAGAAGAAGATAGACACAAATTTCCATGATGAGTACCCTCAACTCCTTTTGATGAAAATACAGACTCCGAATAATTATTAAAAGGGAAGTGTTGCTCTGTGTTAGTTCTTCTTTGGTTTTGAAAAATTATAATAGATTTGTAATAATACAAATTATATATGTGTGTGAAGTTTTTCATATTTATGTCATTTCAATATAAATAAATTCTCTTTTTTTAACTATTTTTTTTTACTAGTGAAACATTTTTCAAAACTCTAAGTCTAAGTTCATTGAGGCAAAAGGAGAAGTGTGTGCTGAGCTGCTGGTGTGAGAGGATAACAAAGGTGTCTGGCATCTACTTGAAGTGCGCTTTGTTCCTCTTGCTCAACAGTTTACCTCCAACATTTTCTCAGGCCGTGTCTGCAAACAGCAAATACAAGTAGAACAAATCTGAAAAAATCAGAAATCTGAAGTCCTTATCAGCCCAGTACAAATATCTTTGCCTTATCATGAAACACGTCATATGCCATTCTCAGCACTTCCTGTCTTCCATCACCCTGAGATTCAATCTGTGGAGCCATCAGTGGCCCTTTTGTCTCCTCCAACCATAAGAGTCTGTTCAGTTACGACACATACAGTAAAAGAGTCGTGATGGTCGGCCCCATGTTTGCTGTTCGGGTTTTTACAACCCTGCCTGTTTCCACTGTGTCGTCTGGTTTGGTTTGTGGGCCCCACATGTGTCTGCTGTTCTACAGAGCTGCGTGGTTCCTTCATCACTGGACTGAGCCAGGGTGTGATTATGAGCAGAATCGGAGAAATAAGCACTTTGCCCTGTCATGGCATGTACAGGAACACCTGACAGAGTGGCAGGCATTCGTCAGACAAAGGCCGGGGTGAAGTGATTTTAACTCCTAGCTTATAATTGACACTAATGAATGTTTTCTTAACCTCCTCAGATGCAGGCTTTTACCTGATTAGCCAAAATTCTACTAGTGTATCTCAGGAAGTCACCCCCCCCCCAAAAAAAAACATGTTGAGAAAACAAATCATTCCGGAAGTCATTCCCCCCCAAAAAAAACATGTTGAGAAAACAAATCAGCAGCCAACTTGTTCTCCAACTTTGACCGTTGTCAAACGCCTGCACCTGGAAATGTAGAAGCTACCTGAGGCCAATTTGTACCACGTATTGTTCACTCCCCCTCTTTTCTTCTCTCTGTATTACCCATTTAAAAAGAACTTTTTTTCCCTGAGAGAGCTTTTTTTGTTCTCTCCAATACCAGGGAGGAGGAACTGGGCAGTCAGCTGGCCAACTATTGGCTCTTCCAGTCCCCTGACCCCATGGTATGTCTGGAATGTATTACCCTTGTCTGCACAGTCACAACCTGCCAGGTTTCAGGTTGAGACAAGACATGAGTGAGAATGATGACTCTGGTGACAGAGATCATTGGTAAATCTAAGCTAAGATTACAAAAAACTGTCTCCTGCAGGCAAGAAATCCTTTCATTTTAAAACAGAGAATCAGTGTGACCTGAGTGAAAGAGGCTGATTCCTCTGACTGATGAATATTTAATCAGCGTTAAAAATGCCTTTTGCTTTTCCAGCTCATCCCTGTCTGACTGCCATGGCCCCAGGCCATTAAAGTCAGCCATTTAATTTGACAGGGCCTCCCCTCTCTGCTGTGAGGTGCGTATTAGATTGGCCGACTCGCTGTGAGGTTTACAGCCACAAACAATTTGATGTTTAGTTTGAACATGCACAAGAACAGGCTGTGCTTTTTATCAAGCGTCAAAAGTGATGTATGGAGCCGCGGTTCTACAAACCCATCTCAAGAAAATTTGCTTAACTTTCTAAAAGAAGATAAAATCCTAATGTTATTAAATGGGCAAAGTGGATTTAACCAATAAGTTCGTTATACTCTACATAGCAATACTCCTGATAGACATTACCTACTAATGGTTTGGAAACAGGATTTTAAGGGCTGCAGTTTTGCAAGTAATTTTTGGCCTTTCTAGCTGTATAAAATACTGGAGTGTATTAAAAGTATTTGTTATTATGAATTTGTAGTATAATTCAATCATATGCTTCATTGTTAATAGCAGGTAGATCTGGATTGCAGTTAAACCGAGTCCACCCATTGTCATACTTCTGTATTTTGGATGGAACCAGATCTAAATTGTTGTGCAGAAGAAGTTTTTTCAGAAAATGATGTGATGACAGGAGAGTGTTCTTCTCTAAAATGTCATCAGTAGAACCTTAACATATATGCAGATCCACAAAAACATGGGCCACCATACCATTAAAGCTGGTTTTGGCAGTTTATTTAGGCAATAACTGTCAGGTTGGTGGTTTGTATTTTTGGCAGATATAATCTTGTACATCTCCACTAAACTCTGGCCAAGAACATCAAAAAAGAAAGGGTTTTTATTCTGCTGGTCTATGAGATGTACACACCCATACATTAAAAAAAAACTATATTAATCCCTGATAATGAGAACTCTGGTACTGCGTTCACTATTGGATCACACAGTCTCATTAACTTAACTCTTACTGAGTGACCTAATGTGTTATATCACATTACGTCCTGCGCTACAAACTAATGAGACAAGCACAGGTGGGTTTGTCCAGGTTCAGCTTGGCCACGTTCCAGCATTCCTCGTCGTACTCCTGCTCATGGCCTTTGTTTCTGCAGCAGTCGGGCCCACAGTGGTGCCACAGTGAAACATTCACAGATAAGAATCCCATGTTGTGCATTAGACCCTGGTGGATGTGTTATACGAGCCTGCTGCGGAAGTTGTTACCGATGAGTCTCTTTGAAGAGAAAGCCT